TCTGGGAGAAACTTGAGAGACTCCTTTAATGTCACGGCCTTGGCATATTTTCTTCTTGACTTCTCTTTTCGAGCCATTCTGGAGTTTTGAGAACTTTGTCTTGGTCTTGTGGACTTAGAATCTTTTCTTTGTCCATTTCTATTTTTCGAGCAATTCTGGAGGAAATCTGGCGCCTAGTCAGGTTTGTGAACTTAGAATATTTTCTGATCACTTCCTGTTTTTCTTCGAGCATTTTTGGGTGTCAGGAACTTGAAAACTCCTTAAAACTCCTCGAAAAGCCATTAGTTTTTTGTGGACTTAAAATATTTTTCTGTTAGTTCTGTTTTTCGAGTAGTTTTGAGTGTTAGGGACTTGAAAACTCTTCAAAACTTCTCGAAAAACCATCAGTTTTGTGGAGTATTTTTCTTGCCAGTTCTATTTTTTGAGTAGTTTTGAGTGTCAGTGATTTGAAAAATGTTGCAAAAGTCGCTAAAAATAGCTTGAAATGTGTCCCTTAAAACTAAGTCCTAGATAATCTTCCAGGCTTCTTTTTGGCTCCTTTTTGACCCTCAAAATTTTGTCGAAAATTAAATTTCCTACAAAATGATCTTTAACTTGAAAAAATTTTCTTTATCCCAAACAGATGCCCCCCAAAATGTTAATATCTCAGGTTTTTGAGATTTTAATATTTTTATTTTGATATTTAATTGGAAAATTTTTCATTTTTTAATTTTTCTGCCATTTTTTATGGCGTCTCTGCCACTTCCCTGCTTTATCTCAGGCACGTTTGCCAAAGTCGACGCATTAAATGTAAGTACTGCTTAGCAGTTACCCAAAATGTCCCATTACTGAGACGTGCTCCGTTCAGTTGGAAAATTAAGGCTATTTTTGATCGAAAAGACGTCCCACTATCTTTTCAACTTCCCACTAAGTGCCAAAATACTCTGGACTTGGGCTCTCGTATGGGCCTTGTACGAGGTTGGGGACCAGTATAAAAGATGAAGTTACCTTATCATTTTTTCACGCTTTCATTTTTTACTCTCCTGCTTAGAGCTCTGTTCTCTCTCTTCTGCTTCCTTTGTGTCGAAATTTCCTCTGGATCATTCCCATCTCCTTTTCTTGTCGAAATGGCGTCCAAGTCTAAAGTTCCCTCTGCCTTCTCCAATGCTGAGCTCGTGCCTTTGGGTCATTCGAGCTATCTTCCTGAGCCACCTCTCGAGGAGGAGAAGTTGGCTATTTGGAAATCCCAGGTACTCATTCCCTTTTCATTGGGCTCGAAACCTCATGCATTTTTATGTCCTTTTGTTCCCCAGTCATCTGTCGAGTCTTCTTTTTCTGCTGATGGAGTCTTGGCATTCTCTTCCAAATATAACTTGGACTCTCTCGAGAATGCCCAAAAAATATTTAGAACTATGCCTCCTGTAACCAAAGACTTATATTTGCCTTGGTTAGATAGAGTTGAGGGTGAAAAACAAGATAGTTGGAGGGCTATAGGAATCTAGGATGTCATTCAGTTATCTAGGTACAATCTGTCTTACAACTTCCCTATGATCATGAGTTCTCTTTTCTTCTGGGATCGAGCAACTAGCTCTTTCCACGTGCCTTGTGGTATGATTACCCCAACTCTTTTCGATGTTGCTGCCATTCTTGGGCTTAGGCCAACTGGTCCTTCATTTCGACCAGATTCTCATCCCAAAAATCCTGATGTAACCCCCAACTTCTAAAAGCTTTCTTACCAACTCTTCATAACCTTGAATATGAATCGAGATGGTCCGGTTACTGATGAGGAGCACGTTGCTTTTCTGATGTTTTGGCTTTCTGCCTATGTTTTTTGCTCAAGATCGCTTCAAGTACCAAAGACACTGCTTACTTTGGCCCAATTACTGCACGAAGAGTCTTCAATATGCCTTGGGAAGCTTATCCTAGGGAATTTGTATGAGAATTTAAATGAGGCCGTAGCTTCATTTAGGTCTAATGACTTTCCTTCAGTCATTAGTGGCCCCTTTTGGCTGCTTCAGCTCTGGCTGAATGCTATTTTTGAAGAAAAATTACAAAGCTCTGAACCACCCAATACTTCTCGAGAAATTGAAGGTTTTCGTCTGACTTTCTTGACTACTAACATAGCCAAAAAACACTATTGTAATGCTTTTCGACAATATTTCAATTTTTTCTTATCTCTTCAATCTTTCACTCCTCAACTTGCTCCTTTTTCTGCTCGAAAGGTAGGGCCAGTATGGTTTAAACGCCCTTTTTCTTCGAGAACTCCAAGTGTCCAGTCTGAAGTTTTAATGACATGGAGACAATGTCTTTCATGTCAACTTCTTTTTTGTAGTTTCACCCATAGGCCTTATCAAGTGGTTGCTTATCAACCAAATCTGGTAGCTCGACAATTTGGGTTGGGCCAGTTAAAACCTTCTTTCATGCTGGAGGGGTCAAATCTAGATATTCTTGAAAACGCCCGAAAGAGTATTGATGATTTGAATGAGGCTATTAGTTTCTTTCGAAAACGTAGGCCAGAAATTTCCCCTCTTGAGTTCGAGCCTATTTTCTACTGTACCAGCACTTTTCAAAGTTGGTGGTCTACTTATTATCATCACCCTGAGATATCTATCGAAGCGTGCAACCAGAAGATGACTTCTGCTTTTTCTCTATTTCAGAAGGGAGATCCAAAGGCCAAGACAAGAGGTACGCATATTCGAGAAATCCAATCTTTTGAACGATTTTTTAAAGTACTTTACTTACCACAAAGAATATCCCAAACTATTTTTGAAGCTGCCCTTTCCTTGAGAGAAAAAACAAAAGAAAGAGTAAATAGGTATAGGAATTTTCATCCTTTTGAGAAGTTTATAGAAGAAATCCTTTTTAAAAAATTTCGACCAACTTTTCCACCTTTGCCAAACTGTAACTTTGCTCTGGCTTTACCCATAATTTCACTTAAATGGGTCGATCTACCTTCGACTCTTTTGAACGAATTATCCCCTCCTCGAAGTAAAATAACAGCTTCGAGATTTTCTTTTAAAACTTATCCTTACCCTCTTCACCTTGATATTCAAGATGTGAGAATCCTTACAAAGTTTAAAGATGGTAAGATTTGCCCTGCTTTTTCTCGAAATCCCTCTTTTTTTATTATTATTATTATTTTTTTATTAGATTTTAACATCTCGAGAAATTTTGCAGCTCTTCCAACAGAACCTTTTGTTGGTCGATATGACCAGGAGGATTGGGAAGAGGATGAGCCTCCTAAGAAAAAACAAAAATCTAATCGAAAAGGTTCTTCTTCGACAACCCTTAAAAAAGGGTCTTCGTCTACATCCCAAGCTGCCTCTGGGGTATCTAAGGTAACTATTTTGACTTGGGTTTCATTAATTCTCGACATAGGTTTAAATTGTAAGCCTGCTTCTTTTCTTTTTCTTAGGCTAAGGCCATTCCCAAGACGAAGATTCCTACCCAGCCCCAAATTTCTATCGAAATGACTGCTTCAACTCCTGTGCAGCAGACACCTGATCGACCTTCAGCTCCATCAGTGGAGGTAAATTTTATCTTTGAGTACTATTCTGTCTTTTCGAGCAATTTTTAATCCTTTTCTTTGTGGCAGGTTTCGACTGATGACACTCCAAGTGTCAATTCACCCCCTAGGGTCCGAAAAGACCCTAAAAAGCATTTGACTCCAATCCCTGAGGAGTCTCAAAAAGTCTCGAGAAAAGAACCTACAACTACTGTCCAACAAGGGAATGAGGCAGTTTCTTCCTTGAGTTCTGGATCTTCGAGCTCTTCTTCGGATACTTCTTCAAGTTCTTCTAGCTCGAGTTCTGAAGATCAAGGTCAAACAGAGCAAGCTTCTGAGGTAAGGCGTGATTTTGCTCGAATTTGATCTTTTTAATCTGTTTCACAATTGATCTTCATACTTGAGACTTTTCTTACTTCTTTATCTCTAGGTGCCCCCTATATCTCGACAAACACCGCCTCTGGGTTCTCCTGAGGTTGAGGGAAATCATGTTCCTGAAAACCTCCCAATTTCTGTCGAAGGTCCTCCCAGCCTTGAAGTTATGCCACCAGCATCATCCATTAACTCAGAAATGAACTTGGATGATTTTAATGCCATGGTGGAGGAAGATCCAGAGGGGGCCATCGACAAAATCTTGGCTGGTACTTTTACCTTTTCTTCTTCGTCTCATACTCCCTCAAGGTCACATTCAGAAATCTCCAAGCCCACTGAATCAACTGAAAAAATGCTCGAAGAGCTTAGGTCCTTGGTCTTTGATGCACCGATGATGAAGAACCTTCCTACTGACAAGGACTTGGTTGCCAAGGTCAAAGGCCTACTTTCTTCGTTGAAGGCTCAACTCTCGACCTTTCCTGAAGGACTCCAACGTTTTGAGTCTCTTTTCATTGATTCTTTAGCAATTATAGACCAAACCACTGTGGTGGGTTCTAAACAAGATCAAGCTCGATTAAAGCAAGACTCTGCTTCTAATAAATTGAAAGAAGCTCGAACTGGGTTAGTCAAGCTAAAGGAATCGGCTACCAATGCCGATATGAAGCAAAAAGAAGTTGATGCTAGAATCATTGATTTAGAGAAACAACTCGAAAGAGCTCGAAAGGAGTCAGAGATGCTGAAGAAAGCTAGTGCGGCTTGTGAGAAGAAAAGAAAAAACTTTATAGAAAATGTGAAGACCCTGACTATGGAGAGAGCTCAAGCTATGGAGGATATTTCGAGTCTGGATGCACAATGTACAGCTCTTGAAACCAGATATCAAAATTTGAGAGCTGTTTATACTGAAATGCGCTCGAAGCCTCCTTTTTTATTTTTCCTTGTATTTTCCTTTGAATTCTTGTAGTTAGGCCTTTTTGTAAATATTCAAATTTTACTTTGAATGAAATTTACTTATTTGTCCTCTTATTGTTCGAATTACCTGTTTATTTGCCTTAATTCAAGTTATTCTTACTTCATATGTTTCTGGTTTGTATGGTTTTAAGTACTTACCGTTAATCGACATGATTCGACTATTAGTTCCAATTTCTCAAATTGAATACGCGTTATTTGAAAACACATTTTCAATCTCGAATGGGCCTTCCCAATTGGGTGACCATTTTCCAAGTTTTCTTGATTTTTTGTCGAACGGTAAAATTACTTTCCACACTAATTCACCAGAATTAAAATGCTTGTTTCGTACCTTTTTGTTATATGACCTCGAAATTCTTTCTTTTTGTCGAATCATCTTTTCTAAGGCACTTAAACGAATTTCATCCAAAGCATTTAATTCATCAAACATTAAGGCCCAATAATCTTCACTTGGTAATTCAAATTGCCGTTGTAATCTAACTGATTGTAGATTCACCTCCACAGGTAGAACGACTTTATGGCCATAAACGAGTCGAAATGGAGTTGTCCCTGTAGCTTCTTTTGGGGAATTCCTATATGCCCACAATACTTGATTTAAGGTTTCATGCCAATTTCTTGGTTTTGATCCAATGTGTTTTTTAATCAATTTGATCAAAATTTTATTTACTGCCTCCACTTGTCCATTGGCCTGGGCATAGTATAGGGTTGAAGTTATCATTTTTATATTCAAGGATTCTGCATATTGAGTTACCTTTCGACCTACAAAAACAGTTCCTTGGTCTGTTGTTAAAGTTTCTGGTATGCCGAATCGATGAATTATGTATTCGTCGATAAAATTAACAACATCACTTTGAGTAACTTCTTTCAACGGAACTGCCTCAGCCCACTTTGAAAAATAGTCGACAGCTACGATGATATACTTATGGCCTTTTGTTGAAGGAGGATGAATTTGGGCAACTAAATCCAGAGCCCAGCCTCGAAAAGGCCATGGCTTAATTATTGAATGTAATTCAGAGGCTGGAACGTGTTGAATATTACCATGCTTTTGACATTCTTCACAGGATTTTGCATATTCAAAGCAATCTTTAATCATCGAGGGCCAGTACAATCCTTCTCGAAGTAACATCCATTTCATTCTTTCTCTAGCTTGATGAGCTCCGCAGATCCCTTCATGGATTTCTGCCAGGGCAATATAAGCCTCATGTTCGCTGAGACATCGAAGTAAAGTGCCATCAACACCCCTTTTATACAATTCATCAACCACAATTATATAGTTAACTGCTCGAAATTTTGTTTTTCGATCAGTTGGAATGTTGGGGTCCTTGAGATAATTGACTAAAGATTTCCTCCAATCTTGGTCAGTTAAGTCATTTATGTTTAAGATCTCAAGGTTTGTTGACCCTAACTTCTCCCTTATCTCTGTTAATTTTGCCAGGTTTTCACTCGAAATTCTATATTTCGAGGCAATTTGGGCTAATTCATTGGCCTCTTGATTTTTGTCTCGAGGAATATGTTCTAGAATGACTTCGTCAAATTTTTGTAATAACTTATTCACTTTTACCCAATATTCGACGAGGTTTCTACTTAAATATTTATATTCTTTGGTTAGCTGCTTTATTACTAACTCAGAGTCTCCTCGAATGATTACATTTCTTGCCTCAAAATTTAACAGTATTTCAAGTCCAGCTAATAATGCTTCGTACTCAGCTTCATTGTTTGAACAAGCTGTTTTTATCTCGAAGAGTAATTTCGTTGGGATTTCGTCTGGTGAAATTATCAATATTCCGATTCTAATTCCATTTCTATGACTAGATCCATCGAAGTACAATTTCCATGACTTTAGACTTAAAAAATCTATTTCTTTGATTGGAATTGAGTGATCAACAACGAAATCAGCAACAACTTGGCCTTTTACAGATTTTAGTGGTTTATAAATTAAAGAATATTCTGTTAAAGCCAACGCCCATTTTCCAACTCTACCGTGAAGGATAAGTTTCGACAAGAAATATTTTATTATATCATGATGTGAATAAACATGTACATCAAAAGGCCTAATATAATATTTCAATTTCTCACAAGAAAAGTATAGACACAAACATAATTTCTCGATTGGACTATATCGAGATTCTGCACCTATCAACATTCGACTAAGATAATAAACAGCTCTTTCGACACCATTTTCGTCTTCTTGAGCTAGCATGCTCCCAATAGTATGTTCTGATGTCGAGATATATAACTTCAAGGGAAAACCTTTCTTTGGCAGAACCATTACTGGTGGTTTTGTCAAATATTGCTTTATCTCCTCGAAAACAGCTTGATGTTCTACTTCCCATCGAAACTCTTCTTCTTTCTTTAACTTCAATAAGGGTGAGAAGATTTTAACCTTGCCAGAAAGGTTGGAAATAAATCTTCGTAGAAAATTTATTTTCCCTAGCAACGATTGCAGTTATTTTTTAGTCGAAGGGGCTTGTGTCTCATATATTGCTTTGGCCTTATTCTTGTCGATTTCAATTCCTTTTTGGTGAACAATAAAGCCAAGGAACTGTCCTGCAATAACACCAAAAGCACACTTTAGAGGATTCATCTTCAAGCCATATTTTCTCATTCTTTCAAATGTTTGTCGAAGATGACCAACATGGTCACTTTTATACTTAGATTTCACAACAATATCATCGATATAAACTTGCAAAAATTCGCCTATTATGTCATGAAAAATAGTGTTCATTGCCCTTTGGTATGTAGCTCCAGCATTTTTTAATCCGAATGGCATTACTACCCATTCATAAGTTCCTAGAGCCCCAAGGCATCGAAAAGCTGTTTTCGATATATCCTCTTCAACGATAAAAATTTGGTTATACCCTAAATATCCATCTAACAAACTTAAAATTTCATTCCCTGCTGCCGAATCTACTAACATATCGGCTATTGGCATAGGGTATTCATCTTTTGGTGTAGCAGCATTTAGATTTCAAAAATCAATGCAAACTCTAAGAGATCCATTTTTCTTAATCACAGGTACTATGTTCGAGATCCAGTCAACATACCTGGCAGTACGAATAAACTTTGCTCTAAGAAGTCTTTCGATCTCTTCCTTGATTTTTGGCAAAATCTCTAGCGCAAATCTCCTAGGTGGTTGCTTTACTGGCCTCTTTTCTGGTCGAATTGGGAGTCGATGTTCGATTAATTCCCTCGAAAGGCCTGGCATTTGATCATAATCCCAGGCGAAGCAATCTTTAAATTCCCTTAGTAACTTGATTAATTGGTCTTTCACTTCTTCTTCGACCAATTTACTGATGAAAGTTAACCTCGGCTCCTTTTCATCTCCCAGGTTCACTTCTTCTAAGGGATCTTGTGCCTCCATTTTTGGCCCTTTTCGAGCTGAATCTTCCTCGAAGCTAATTGGTGCATCATCGTAGATGCAATCAAGCCGGACATCGTTGCCTTCGGTCTCTAGAACCGATTCTTCTTGAATCACACATGTTTCGAGTTCTGTGTGCCTTTGTTCGGCTAGATAAGCCGAATTTGTCGTAATGGCCGAATATGGTGAATCGGCCTCCAATCCTTCAGCCACTTTTAGGGCCGCTTCTCTTCTTTCGGCTAGATGAACCGAACTTTCGACCATATTGATATCTGCATGGCCTTGGATTGGGTCTACGGCTTTATGGGCCGAGATTTCTTCTATTTTTTGTGATTTTATGGCCGAACTAAATTTATCGGCCTCTGAAGTATCCCCGGCTTCGAGAGCCATTTTTATTTTATTTTCGGCTACGTAAGCCGAAATTCGAGCCAAAAGGCTCTTTTCAAGGCTCTTCATTTTCATTCTTTTCGGCCTCCACTATTTCTTGGAAGCCGTAAAAACCCACCGAAGGGTCTAGGCGAATCTCGTGTCGAATTTCGCGAGCATTTGGTAGGAGAGGATTTCGGCCAAAATGAGGGCCGCCTATATCTTCTATACAAAGTGGCGCAATGTTGGCAAAAGACTTGTCGAATGTTTTGCTATCAAGACTGTTTACATGAACTTCAGCCTTAAAATAGCTCTGATCTCCATCGACGTATTCCAACACTCCGTTGTTATTCCAAAGACACAGTTTCTGATGCAATGACAAAGGTACTGCTCCAACCCCATGAATCCATTCTCTCCCGAGCAGTAGATTATAACTTGCCTTAGAAGCTACCACTACAAAAATGGTTGCTCGAGAAACAGATCCAACTCTCAAGTTGACGATTAGGGCTCCTTTGGAACTTGAAGATTTCCCTTCATAGTCCGTTAGTACCAAGTTGTGTGGGAGTTAATCCTCTTCAAATTTCCCAATCTTTTTTAGTAAAAAATTGGGCATAATATTGATAGCTGCCCCAGAATCAACGAGGACTTTGTTCACTCGAAATTTTTCGTCAATTCGAGCCGCAATGTATAGCGGCTTCATATGACTTTTCATTTCACGTGTTGGCTTCTCAAAAACAGCCGACGATTTAGCAAGTGAACCGTCCTCTGCCAAATAACAATAACCTCATGGGTTATTATCGGGTTCGTCATCGGCATAGAAGTCTTCTTCATCTCCTTCGCCGATTCCTTCGGCATATTCAGCAGGCAGCATGGATACAACCCCAAGTATGTCCTCGAGGTCATCTTCAAAGCTTGATTCGAATACATCGGTGATCAATTCATCATCCGCATCGTACTCGATTTCTGGACTCTTCATCTTCAAGTCTTTCTTCATTGCTAGTGCCCTCTCTTTAGTCATTTTACTTCGACACTAACCGGGGTACATCGCATCTTTCTGGCGGCATTTCCCTGGGCTTGTTGGACTTGATTTTGAGCTCGAATTTGGGCTTGGATTCGAGCTTGAGCTTGTGCCTAGACTTGAGCTTGAGCTTGGGCCAAGGCTTGTGCTTCATGCTCAGCCTTCCTGATTCTTTGAGCTCTTCGCCACTGAGTTTTAGTCATAAGAGCCTTAAAATAGGGCTTTTTCGACTGAAAATGGCTCCCAGATGGATTCTGGAACCCAGTTTGAGTGAAAAACTTGGGTTGTGAGAAAACTTGTTGTGGCATGACCGTTGAATGTGACGGTCCGCCCTTTTCGACCATCTGCAGTTTTGGTCGAATTAGTGATGGGTGCAACACATTTCGAACCCATGTGTTGCTCGGAACATTTTGAGCAGGTACGAAGGTCCTGCTTTGAACAGTCTGGGGATCACGTATGGTGATAGAAGCATTCTGAGTCTGGATCCCTTTGTTCTTGGTGATCACCTGGTTGGTGGTCACCTGATAGTGTTTCTTCATCTCTGATTGCTCGAAGGCTTTGGCCGCCGCTTTATCGAAAACGGCGCTACACCTCGGGCACAGCATGACCTCACTGTCTGCTTCCTTCTTTCGAGTTAGAAAGTCCAGCAGCGAGTCACCAGCCTTTGGGAAGATTTCAGCTTCTTCCTTCTCGAAGGCTTCGAGGGTGTCACTCAAAGAGCCTTTCCCTTCTAGCTCTTCTACAGCTCGATCGAATGACCCCTGTTGTTCAGCAACATCGACCATCAGTATGTCGATAGGTTCCACGAAGTTAGCTTCTATTTGCATGGGATCAGAATCGATTTTCATCGGCATTTTGGTTTTTTGCTCGAATTTTAATCGTCCTTGCTTAATGGCGTCCTGAATAAGATCACTGAAACGAACACAGTTATTAGTCCAATGTCCATAAACATGATGAAACTTACAATATTTTTGACCCTTTCTTTGTTCTAGAGTAGGGATTTTATGATCATCAGATAATATAATTTGCCCATCTTTCAATAAAATGTCAAAAATATGATCAGCTTTAGATATATCAAAGGCATAACTCTTATTAGGTCGAGTTTTGTCCTTAATTTAGAGTGGTTTTAAAGATTGGCAAACATAAGGGGGTCCTGGTTTTAATTCAGCTACATTTACCTCATTTACCCCTAAATCGACATTTTCTTCATCGAGATCATTCTCGCTTCCTATTTCTCCTTCAGCGAGACCTATGTAAGCCACTTTGTCTTTTCGAGGAAATTTCTCTATTTTCTTAGGGACAAATTTTTCAGCCTTAAGTTGCTCGATTTGCCTCACTCTCGTCGCTAACTGCGACATGTCTCTTAACTGCTGATTAATCAATTTCTTTCTAATCGAGTACTCCAATCCGCCTATAGCCATTTGAACTAGTTCATATTCTGGAATTTGAGTAAAACATCTCGACCTCATTTGTCTAAATCTACTTAGATAATCGTCAATGGATTCATTATGTATTCTTTTTATATTAACCAAATCCATTAAGCTAACTTTCGCTTCACCACGAAAGAATTGTTCATGAAACCTTCTTTCTAATTGATTCCAATTATGAATTGAATTCGGGGGTAAGGTTGTGAACCAGGTAAAGGCCCCCTTAGTCAAAGAACTAGGAAAGTACTTTAACTTTAAATCTTCATTTCGAGCTAAATCTCCACATTCTATGGCGTATCTAACTATATGTTCTACTGTAGATTCACCGGAATCTTCGGCAAATTTAGTGAATTTTGGGACTTTCCAGCCCCGAGGCAGTTCAGCCTGCAAAATTGCCTCAGAGAATGCTGAGACAAAGTAGGGTCTATTAGCATACCCTACGTCGAACCCATGTTGATTCAAGACTTGTTCGACTACATTGGCAATGTTTTGAGGATTCGGGTTGTTTGGATATTGAATTTGATGCCCCCTACATTATTTTGTCTAACTTGCTCAAGTATTTCGTCAGCATTCTGATTTCGAGCAATAATAAAGGGTTGATTTCCCTGAAAATCACCCTCATTTTGTCTCAGAAGGTTTTGGTCGAGATTTTGACCAATTTGCTCAAACGGAGCATTTGGATTTCGAGCAAAAACTAGGGGTTGGTCTACCTGAAAATTTCCCTCATTTTGTCTCGGAAGATTTGGACCAAAATTTGGTCTATTTTGCTCGAAAATTTGACCATTTCGACCAAGATGTGTAGCATCTTGATTAGGTGTTTGGGCAACATTTTGCCCTTGCCTTATAGGGACTCGAGGTGCCCCAAAAATGTCAGCAATTCGACGCATTTGTTCAGCCAAAATTTGATAGCTGGTATTAGTCGTTTCCACTATGGGATTCAACACAGTGGTCATTTGATGAGTCAGCATATTGACCATCTCGTGATTGCTTTCATCCATTTGTTGCCTCATGGAATGTAAGGCAACATTCGAAAACGAGCTAGTAGGAAGTGAATCCCCACTCGAAGCTCTAAACGCAAATTGCGTTTCAGGTACTCCACCAATCGTACCCATTCCCGGTGGAATAGTATGGAGTACACCCATTCCTGGTGGAATGGTGTGACTCTGGGGTGACACGGTCGTCACCACAGGGTTAGAGTAGGTTGGTACTCCAAAGATAGGAGGCATACACACGGGAGGTAAGCCAAATGGGTGATCACCCAGCCTTGGCCTTGGGCCAGGATTTATGCTGGGATTGGTTGGCGGCATAGTAGCCATAAATTGGCTAACTACGGGAGATGACGGCGTAGGTAACGCCGTCGTTGGTGTGGGTTGTGCGGCAGTAGTAGTACTGCCGCTTACATCTGGGTTAGTATCACTACCATCACTTCTGGAATTGCCATTCCCAGAACTAGAATCACTATTTATTCCTCTATTAGCCATAATACAACGTCCGTTACGTAATATCATGCAACAAAGCAAGCAATCATTCAAAGCACACAATATCGTCCCACTGGGCGTGCCAATTTGTTTACGGTGAAAAAATGACAGTTGTAAACAAATAATCTAAAGATTAATCTAGGGACTGGATTTAGGTCCTCGTTGGGTTCTTTTAAGTGTGTTGTTAACGTGATGCTCAAATTAACGGCGTAAAAGAGTATTAAGCAAAAATAGTGAATAATAAATGAGCAGAATTGAATCAAGCGTGGATGCTTTTACGAAAATGTAGTAAACAGGAAACAAACAGTGTACAAAGATACAAGCAACAAGCACTGAAATAAAAATGCAGAAATGTAAATGCGGGAATGTAAAGGTGCTGGAATGTAAACGTACGACTCCTCACAACGGCGAACAACGGCCACCGTAGGTCTCCTTGTAGCTGGTATCTGGCGCGATGCAGAGTTTCAGCGTCTTAGAGTGTTTAGGTGTGGTGTCTGGGTGCAAAAAGTCGTCCTTTGTAAAATGGTGCTTTGGGGTATTTATAGACATGAAGACTACCATCGTTCTCCTCCTTTTGCGGGCACTTCTTAGTAACTGCCTTCAACTGTTGATGCCCACTATCCACGATTGCTTGTGATCGTGTTGTTGGTTGAGGTTTCTTTCGTAACCGTTATCGCCCATGATCTCCTTTGTGTAGTGGTGGATGTTGATAACTGTTGGTAACCGCTTCTGAATTTTTCAATGACTTAACCTATCAAGACTCTTGTTTTTCTGTCTTTCGAGTATTTCTGGGAGAAACTTGAGAGACTCCTTTAATGTCACGGCCTTGGCATATTTTCTTCTTGACTTCTCTTTTCGAGCCATTCTGGAGTTTTGAGAACTTTGTCTTGGTCTTGTGGACTTAGAATCTTTTCTTTGTCCATTTCTATTTTTCGAGCAATTCTGGAGGAAATCTGGCGCCTAGTCAGGTTTGTGAACTTAGAATATTTTCTGATCACTTCCTGTTTTTCTTCGAGCATTTTTGGGTGTCAAGAACTTGAAAACTCCTTAAAACTCCTCGAAAAGCCATTAGTTTTTTGTGGACTTAGAATATTTTTCTGTTAGTTCTGTTTTTCGAGTAGTTTTGAGTGTTAGGGACTTGAAAACTCTTCAAAACTTCTCGAAAAGCCATCGGTTTTGTGGAGTATTTTTCTTGCCAGTTCTATTTTTCGAGTAGTTTTGAGTGTCAGTGATTTGAAAAATGTTGCAAAAGTCGCTAAAAATAGCTTGAAATGTGTCCCTTAAAACTAAGTCCTAGATAATCTTCTAGGCTTCTTTTTGGCTCCTTTTTGACCCTCAAAATTTTGTCGAAAATGAAATTTCCTACAAAATGATCTTTAACTTGAAAAAATTTTCTTTATCCCAAACACATCTACTAATATCATGGCCTGACTTGCACAATGAGAGCACATAAGACGGTTGGTTGAGTCGAAGACGCATGCCAAAATTTGGGAGACACATGAATAGCATATCCAACGGCTTCAATTTTGTCATCATGCGAATGTGTAATTGCTTTGCGTGTCTCCTCTTGGGTTCCCATGGAATAAATTCTATTGATTGAAGGCAACGGTGAAGTATTTAAGATTTGTGAACGGAGATTGCCAAAAATTGCATAATTGAGTACCATGAGAAATTGATACACACAGTCTTTTTTTTATTCTTCCTGCAAATGTTTAGTCACAGGACATTTATAATGGAGCGATTGCCTTCCAACTTATCTCAAATCGCACGCAATTTGGTGTAGTATGTACCGAGACTCATGCCATGTTGCTTCACAGATGGCAACCCAGACTTTAATTGGTACTGTCTCAGAATATTATGAATCCAACCGTTGATCATGGAATTGCATACTTCCCATGCAAATGATTCTTTAGATTCTGCATCGTCAGGTTTTTTAACGGAGTTGTTAATGAAGCCTAACTTATTCTTCGCCTTCAATGCGATTTTCATGGCCTTAGACCAATTGTCATAATTCTCTTCACCACTTAATAGAACATTCATCACTACAATCCTAGGATTGTCTGAAGCATGGTCATAAAAAGGGGAACAAGGGTTGGTGATCTTAATGGTCTTTTCACCTTTTCCCTCCTTTTCCATGATGAGCTATGACAAATGATTAAAAAGAATTGCAACAAATGGGATGATGCAGTATGACAAAAAGAAATGGAAAAGGCTTCACATGAAGGGAAAAAAAAAAGTGGTTCCCAAGATCAAGCTCTTGATACCATGATAAAAAGGTGAAAGGATCAATTTTGTATTTACTAATTAAAAACTAGCCTATATAAATAGGCATGTACAGTGCATGATAGAGGCCATTAATTTTGTAATGATAACAGATATTGTGGCTATAAATTGTCAGTATAACATTGCTTACCGATCACCTGTAATAATGCTAATATTAGAGATGATTAAAAGAAAGATCTAATAGTTTTATTGTATAAAACATATATTCATGGTGTAAATGTACTTGAATATACGTGAGAAATTCATAAAATACATAAGAAACTTACTTCAAGTTCTTGAACCCTTTGCTTCCTCTTTCTTCTTCTTTTTCTTTCTATCTCAAAAATGTCTCATCTCAAATTTTTTTAGCATCTCTTTCATGCCTCTTCTCTTCATTTTCTTTTTCTCTCTATCTCAAAAAATATCTTTTCTCAAAATTTTTTAGCCTCCCTTTGATGCTTTCTTTTTGTTTTTTATGCTCTTAGAATTAGGAAAAGACTAAATATCTCATACAAGGTCCATTTTCAATTTTTATGCTAAAAAACTTTGCTTATTTTTTTATTCAATTCTTATAATATTTTTATTTCTTTTTTAGAGTCAAATCTGAATTTTTTTTATTTGTTAAAGTAAATTCTACATATTTGGTTTCCATTCCCTTTTTATAAAATAAATTTAGAATTAAAAATAAAATATAAAATTTTTAAAAATAAAATTTAGATATTCACACTCTTAAATCTCGAAACGAAAACAACTGCAACATAGTAGTTTTTTTTTTATAAATAAATACTACTATTTTAATTAAAAATAATATCCTAGTAAGACCTGAGTTATTATGAAAAGTGAGAAAATTATTAGATTAAAATTAAAGGGCCAAATAGTTTTAACTAGAAAAACATCTCGTGACCACAAAATTTAAAAATAAATACTATTTTAATTACAAAATTTTGAAGTAAAATCTTAATTATTGTGAAAAATGAAAAAAAATATTAGATTAAAATTACAAGGTCAGACTAGTTTTAACAAGAAAAACATATCGTGAGCACAATTTCCGTAATTATTGCCACAATTTCTACAATTATTAATTTTCCCCCTCTCTGTGTTTTCCATTGTTAATATACCAAATTTCTCATTCAGCTATGGTTGACAACAGTAAAATTTACATGCCAAAATCCTACAACACGAGCATTTCTTCCCACGTGAACACAGTTTCCAATAACCTTCCCTCTGCCGATGATTTGTCGCAAGTGCACAACCGTATCAAGTAATATAAAATGTTTATTTCATAGAAATTATACTATTATCAAATGGTAGCAATTCAACTATCTAATTATACTTGATTAATTAGAGTAAACAAAAGGGAATAGAAAAGGTAAAAGTAAAAATTAAAAAACATGGTTAAATTAAATTGAAAGAATTCACATTCTAAAAAAATTACGAATTATTTTGACAAACTTTTAAAAGTAAATCGTATGTTAATTTTTTATTTATTTTGAAGTGAACCACCTTAATGTAAACATTATATTATTTTATAATACAATAATATATTTTATTAAATAAATTCCTTCTTTCATAATAATCATATCTAATTAAACTTGTTAAAAACTACAATGATTTAGAGATTTTTCAAGACTAACTTACTTTCATGGTCTAAAAATTTATCTTTAAAATTTTTAACATCAAAATTTACTTTTCAAATTTTCAATTGACATTTGATATATGCAAACAATGGTTCTATCAAATTTGCAAACACTAAATGTTAAAACAAAATATTAAGATTAATTAAAAATTATTGAAACATTCAAAACATAGTCATCAATCTTAATTATTGTTGCGCCTCGCTTCTATTTTAACTAAATTCGTAAGTTTTTTTCTTCTTCTATTTTTTTGTATTGGGGTTCAATATATAGTTTGTTTGGCTTTTTGTGCTTTTTATTGCTTTGCCTTTGTGATTTTCAGTATCTGAACTGAAATAGGGGAAATGGTATATTGGGTTGTTGCCAATGTAAATTATAAGTGACCTTATTTCTCCTCTTTTGATTTATTGGATGATGAAAAATTGCAGGCTTTGAATTTGGACATGTATACTGTCGTTTTAATCTGATTAGTTCTTAAAATATTTCCTGGAACACCATTAATGTTCCTCAAGTTTGTAGAAGCAAGCAAAGTGAAAGAGATGCTCTTGAGTTCCATGGTGTTGTGCAAGCCTCACAATTTACTTAAGCAAATTTTAACTTTCAAAATATTAATGAGATGAATTTGTCTAAATGAATCTTAATTTGTTTAAACGAATCAAAACTGGATCATTATATTTGTGCTAAAACTGAAAAGAATATAAATTCGTTGTTATCCATCATATAATTGAGTCTTAGCTGACACATATACTGTCTCAGTAAATTAAATTTTTAATATAAAAATTATAATTTATAATGTTGAAATAAGTTTTAATATAAATAAATTTTACATTAATCTAAATACAATATTGGTAAAAAACCCTCTATATACTCAAATATGAGATTTAATTAAAAAATAAACACCTTATTATTTATACATACAAACTCTAATTAACTATTTAAAATATTTTACTGCTAAGTTTATACAATTTAAAATTAACTCACTTATTACTATTTGTATTGTCATTAAAACCTCTGTTGGCCTGCTAGAATATTTTTTAAAGTGTATCTCTATCAAACTTAAAATTATTTATCTTCAAACAAATAAATGATATACAATAGAAAAATATTTAATAAATGAAAAATAATTTACCGATAACAGAATTTATTTACACGCTTAATATAAGAATAACATAAATATCTGATCCTTCATTTGAAAGAGAGGTTCTTTGTTATGGATGCTCGATCATGTCCTCCACTCAAAATATTCGCTCTTTTTTCTTTTTAACGTAGGCTTACTTATTTTATGTTTATATTAGCTCAAAACTCGCACCATAATTTAATGGCCATTGATCTTAAAATACCCTAATTTTGTTGGGTATCCAAGATCCAAACTCATTCTCTTGATTCTTGAACAATTTGCATATGGATTGTCACGGCACCGAATCTAAGGCGAAAGCTGATCAAAGTTGAAATCACGATTCATATAATACCCTCCATTATTTCACCAATGACAGCAATACCCCTCATCAATGAAACACGTCATGTTCTTATTGGATCCCTGGCTCTGATGATTGTGAGCAGAACCATTTAAAACCATCTTCTCCTTCTTCAAGTTCTGGGCTAATTACGCCTTTTCACTTCACAGACGCACTGGATCTGCAATTGGAGAAAACCTTGCACTACCTCAGAGTTTTACACAAGCAACTAGCACAGGTTCTTACGCCATTGTCTTTTTTTTTTAAAATTACTTGCATACAAATTTTGCATCATTTCTATAGCTTCAATTTCCCTTATAAATTAAGAGTACAGCGTAGGAATTTGAAGTTCTGTGTTGCAATTATGTGTATAATCGCTTCTCATTGTATTGCGATCATTATCACGCAGAAACGATGATATAGTTGGGTGGTGTGGATATTTTGGATGTACATACCTCAATTGGACATTTATTCTGGATCATTGGAGGTCTTGTTGAAATATTGACGGAGATATTGTTTGTTTATTTTTTTTATATAATGTGACGGTGCGGTGTTAATATATCCACAATCTAATTTGTCAATTAAATAAATGTGCGTGAGACTTACCTCCATGAAAATAAAACCCTTTTTGGCGTAGTAATACAATTATGTGATAAGGGAAAGTTTTGGCCTAGCTCAATTAGCTGTTGTCTGTTTGCTACTTTTGTCAAGTGTGCATGACAGTGGTGTGTGTTTCTGGCATATGATTATGAGAGTGGTTCTGTGTTAGTGGAAGATGAAATGTGGTTGTAAGGAAGGGTTGTTACTTGTTTGCTAGGCCTATCAAATAATTTTTTTTTTTCAGACATATAGATTCTTTGCTAGGATACTGAAGTTCATCTTCATCAGTTTCAATATGTTATTTTTTTTTCTTCATATTTTTATTTGTCTTTCTGATCCATTCATTCTTATACACCAGATAAATGTCTAGAAGTTGAAACAACAAGAATTACTAGAAATATTGTGCAGTGGATATTTCCTGAATGTATAGACAGAGTAAAAAATCTATATTTGCTGTAGCATTGAATCACAGATGAAAGGAGGAAATAGTTGTAGCTTTAGAGGGAGGCATATTTCCCTAGCTCTGGTTGCTCTTGTTCTTTTTCCCACGTTACTGTGGACGTGGGAGAGAAATCCACTAGCCTTGACTTTAAGATCAGCTCAAGAATGGTACAGCATGCCTTCAGGTATGTATTCCAGCCAGGCATATACATAATGAGATTAGTCATTTATTTACTATCTCTTTCTCTCTCATTTTTTTGTACCTTGGTGCATGTTGCTTTTGGGTTTGAAAACAATTTTGGCGGTATTTGAGCAAAAACAAAAATAAAAGCTGCTCCAATCTCCTAGAGTAGACTTACTTTTTAAATAGAAACGAGATCTTACAAGGAGGAAGACAAACATAATAAACGTTCAATAAAAGAAAATAGAAAAACCTCACTTCAACACCTCCCCAACCAAATATCATGCTGGATATCCACTATTGGAATTTCCTTAAGAGTATAGATGTTGATTTTTTCATGTATGAAGCAATTTTAACTGTTGTTTTTGTGGAAAAGATTCATTAGGAGAACACAGCATGATACACACATGCCACTCCAGGGAGTATCGAGTAATTCTTACATATGTATATTTCTGTGGTACAATGACCGAAATAGTTGAGAATTTTGATATTATACCTGTATTTGTGAGCATAACCGGATATTATTATTGATACCTTGAATAGTCCTATAAGTTGATATGGGCATTTTGTTGTATGTGCTTCTTGAACATAGACTATTACTGTGGGGATTTTATATCCGTACATAACTTATGAAATAATTATTGGTTTTGGCCTTGTAGAATTTATTTGGTAAAAAAAAACACTGTTAATTGTGTATGTGGGTCCATCCTTTTCCTAATGCATTGGTGAACAGACATTTAAAATTCTTTTATCTCTTGCAGGATCTGTTTCTCACTGATTCATTGAATAATAATTAATTGATTCTTATTTTTTGTTGGTTTGGTTAACATTTTTTGTGTGTTTTGTGATCACCATTTCATTAACTTGCTATTTTTGTGTTATACATCTGCTTAGAATTTCCTGCGGTAGCCCCAATTCGTTCAGGGGGAACTCCAAAGCTAGAAAACGGTGCACAAAAATCCTTGACTCCCATCACAGAAAATGGAACAAAACTTCAACTTGATATTGAGGGTGTGGCAACGGTAGATTCTACAGTTGCGAAATCTCCAGTGATTCAATTCAATCAAAATGCCACACCTTCTTCCAGGAGTGAAGGTAGATTCTTTTTGTTCTGTTATTACATTCATTACAATGAACTTTTTCTGATACTCTATGCATGCATTCTCTATAATCATCATTGTTCTGCTACTGCCTGTTGTTTTATGGACTATGGTCTATACAGTTGTTTCTGAGAATGTGGTTGGACTGCTCCTTTGTCTAACAAGTACTGCTACACTTCACACACAAAAGTTAGGCAGAATATAGCTATTTAAGGGTGGTTGTTAATAAGACAAAGTGATGGGGAGCACTCATCCATCCTAGAGTCAATAAGCATGCCAATGGATTCTGGTTTACTTGCTGTCAAACTTTCTAGATAAGTGGCAATTTCCTGGCTATTTCACTATTATTACTTGCTTACCTGTAATTCAAGCTGATGATAGTATTGTCTTTGAAATTGGTTATATCCTTAGGAATCATAAGTTGTTTGACTAGAGCAGCTTTTTTTTTTTTTTTTTTCCATGCTCAAGTTATGTAGCAGGCATTATTTCCATTATCATGATTACGAGCTTTACATTTTTGTAAGCCGTAACTAACTACCATGAATTGCAACCTCAACCTCGAAGTTGATTTGTGCTTTCAAACTTTGTTACATAACTTTATCTAGTCTGTGGTGGAAGTATTTTTAGATGCTAAAGAAAAAGAAGGAAGAACTCTTGTTAAGAGTCTCTCGATAAAGAATGAATAAGCATATTCAAGCATTATCGTGTTATTAGGAAATTTTATTATTATTAGAATTTCCTCTTATTTATGAGATCTTTCATAATTTTAGTTATTTTTTATTTAATTAGGATTTATCTAGCCTTTTACATTTTATTAGAATTTATCTAGCACTTTATTATCTTTGGGTTATGAATAGTTGAATATCCTTTAGGTGCGTTATGTTATTCAATTTTTTTGCAAATTGATTATTGATATTATTTCATAGAACATCTGAAACTTGAGTTGCAAGATCATTCCCCCCTTAAAGGAGTACTCTGGATTTGTTTATTAGGGGATTCTCCTGCTCAAAGAGTACACCTGGTTTCTTAGTTAGGGGAGTACTATCCTCTTTGAAGGTATTAGCTATATGTTCGTTAGGGCAGTCTCAACTTCTTCACTGGTGATGTTGGCATGGTCATTGGCTATTGTACTAAATTAATCCCACAGAAAATTAGCAATTCTGCTCTTATGTCTTTTCCTGGTTCAACATGCTCAAACCTTTTATCTTTATTCTTCTATGAGGTTCACTTGCTTAATTTAATATTGATTAGATTTCTTTGTTGCAGTTTGTAATTATGCCAAGGGTAACTGGGTTGGAGACAGCAGGAGACCGCTGTATTCTGGGTTCAGCTGTAAGCAGTGGTTATCCTCAATGTGGTCATGTAGAATGACACAACGACCAGATTTCTCATTCGAGGGGTACCGCTGGCAACCTGAAAATTGTGATATGCAAGAGTTTGAACGGTCTGCATTCTTGAGAAAGTAGGTATAATCCTTTCTTTTTCTTTGATCTAATTGTTAATAACTCATACACATTTCAACAAAATTATTACCTGGCTGCTATGTTTATTAAATGGTGTATCTGTTAAGGTGCTTACAAATTTTCTGATTTGATGTTAACATAAATAATGTTGCATCAGTTTAATTTGCATCTGATTATTATTCAATTGGCATTTTCTTGTGTTTTGTTAAATCCGAACTTGAAATCTTTTTGTCTTCGCTTTTTTATTCCTTTTGGTTAATCAATGTGATAGAAGTACGTGAATTTCAATTTAGATAGTGGTCTGTCAGTGGTGAGTGGTGTTTAATACTAATGTGGAATGTAGGATGCAGGACAAAACAATTGCATTCATAGGAGATTCTTTGGGCCGACAACAATTTCAATCTCTGATGTGTATGGCCACTGGTGGAGAAGAGAGCCCAGACGTTGAAAATGTAGGATGGGAATATGGTCTTGTCAAACCACGTGGAGCTATTCGTCCCGATGGCTGGGCTTACAGATTTCCAAAGACTAATACCACCATCTTATATTATTGGTCAGCTAGCTTATGTGATCTGCAGCCCCTTAACATCACAGACAAACAGTCCAACGTTGCCATGCATTTAGATCGGCCCCCAGCTTTTATGAGACAGTTCCTCCATCGGTTTAATGTTTTGGTTCTTAATACAGGACACCACTGGAACCGGGGGAAGCTTAACGCAAACAGGTGGGTAATGCATGTTAATGGAAAGCCAAATGAAGACAAAAAGATTGCAGAAATTGCAAATGCCAAAAACTTGACAATCTACAGCGTAGTCAGATGGCTTGATTTGCAACTTGTCTCACATCCCCGGCTCAAAGCCTTCTTTAGGACAATATCACCTAGGCATTTCTTCAATGGGGATTGGAACACTGGTGGAAGCTGTGATAACACTATCCCATTAACCAATGGAAGTGAGGTCACACAGGAAGGATCTAATGATCCAACTATTGAAAATGCACTAAAGGGGACAAAGATTAAAATACTAGATATAACTGCTCTTTCGCAATTGAGGGACGAGGCTCACATGTCGCGCTACACTATCAGAGGAACTCTTAATAACAGTGATTGTTTGCATTGGTGCTTACCTGGAATTCCAGATACGTGGAATGAACTCCTTGTTGCTCAGATATAGGCTGTATCACCATTTTATTACTTCTCCAACCCAACCACCACCCCCCCCCCCCCCACCACCACCACCTGCAGTACATAGGCCTACAAATGCATTGCAGAATGCATTAGTAAGATATTTAGGTGGATCAAAATCTGTCAATTCTTTGTGGTCTATGCGACCAATTATTATTTTCTGTCAAATGTATTTCATTTATTACGTTCATGCTAAATAGGAATTAGGGAGATCATACGGTTCCGCTCTTTCTTTTTCTTTTTCTTTGCCAACAATTAGGTGAAACTTATATATGCTTTGAACGGTGTCCACAGAGAACTTCAAGAGGCATGAGCAAAATACTATATGCATGGCCGGAGTTGGCACGGCCTTTATTGAAAAAATTGAAATGATTTTGTAACTTGTTTCGTTGTATTTGTATTATAATTGGTTGCCATAAAGGAAATGGTCTACACAGATTCTCTCTTTACCGTTCTGATTTGAGCACCAAACTTCTTTATCAAATTGCAAGGGTAAGATAATATCTCTTATTTCATGCATAAAGAAATGGTACGATAAAATTAATATGACGAGACAAAATTAAGGATATTGCGAATTAAATGGAAACAAAATACTCAAAATATAAAGTGTATGAGTATGATATATGAATAGAGTGTAAATATGAAGTGTCAAAGTAGTACAGTTGAATATAAAAAAAGAAATTAGGGCCTAATTGTTTCAGCATTATGGGACAAACCTGTTTTTATCCTTCAGCGTTATGGGACAAACCTGTTTTTCTCCCTTGATAAAATTTTTCAACCATTCAACAAATTTAGGAAAATGTGTACGAATAAATCACGACACGCTTACGCTAAACCAATGGAGAACCAAATAGAGACTCATTGTACCTTGAACAAAATAATCTTTTATGAAACGCTTGTGTATAAAAAACTATAAGTGCTCTTTTCTCATCAATTATTAAAATTTTACACTTTTTTCTATATTGTATATCCGTCGTCGGAACCAAATTCCAATTTATGTGCTCAATGAGTCATTTTGACATAGCCGTGCATTGTATCCATTCATTATGATGTTTAGGATCATCCAATCCAAATTCACATCGAATTTACCTGTCAAACTTCTTTGTCATCTGATTATTTTACTCTAATCTTTTGTTTTTGGTCGAGTATTTTATTTTAATCTCAATTGGAAATTAATGAAAATTAAATATCAGTTTTGAAATTAGTGAAAACATATCAAATTGGAAATAAAAAGTATAAAGTAAAAATATCCCCACCTTAGGTTTACGTCAAATTTTACATCCCTTTTAACGCTGGATAAATGGTTGTCAGTAAAAGCAAGATCAAAATAACGTAAACAATTTCCACTAGCAACTAGAGATGTTTCATGAGATTTATGTAGGGAAAGCCAAGGCTTTGATTCAAATCTCATTGAGAAATTCTCCATGAAAGTATCCAAAAAGGTACAAAATGATTATTAAACTCAATTTAAATTAACCAAAGGTCACTCCCTTACCACTTATAACTTTACCAATGTGGTAGACTTTCTCGGTTTTGCCTCTGCTCTCAAGTATTCTACTAGCTGTCTCTGGACTAACTACCAGGACCATCCCTATTCCCATATTAAAAGTCCGTCTCATCTCAGAGTCTTCAATCTTCCCAGCCTAATGTGAAAGCTTATCAATATAGAACTATACCACTAAATACTTTTTGTTTACAAAAGATTTCAAGACAAATTATAAATAAGTTTTTTTTTTGCTAGATTATTATTTTCCAGGGAACGTTAGAGAAAAATGTATTACCTCTTGAAGCCACTTGAACACTGCAGGCACCTCCCACGAGTCTTTGTATATAACAGCACCAAGGCCTTCTGGAAAAACTCGAGGTATGTTATCTGTGAAACCACCACCTGTGATGTGGGCAATTCCCTTCACTCCTCCTTTGCTAATGAAGTCAAGTACCTATTTTGAAAAGATAAGAAGTCTTCAAGATCAAAAAGGAAGGGAAGTAAAACGAAAATGCAATAAAGTATGTGACATGTTTGATGAATGACCTGTTTAACATAGATAACAGTTGGGGCCATCAACGCTTCTGCAATTGTAATATCACCCCCAGGAAGTTGATCTTTCAACGAAAGACCACTTTGAGCAAGAACTCTATTAAGATATACTAGTACATGTCAGTAGCTAATAATTTAATAAAATCTGAAAGATTCTGTACTCAACCAACCTTCTTACAAGTGAGAAACCATTAGAGTGGACTCCACTAGATGGTAGACCAATAAGAATGTCACCAGCAGTAATGTTTGTCCCATTGATTACAGAATCTTTCTTCACAATGCCAACTGCACAACCACTAAGATCATACTCGCCTTCTTTATAGAGGCCAGGCATCTCTGCAGTCTGAAAAGTAGATACAACTAACTATAAGTGCAAATTGGGGACAATGTAAGATGGGAAAAATCTATTAATAATTCTAGATTCAAGAATCCAAGCATCATTTAACCAGAATGACGAGCTTTCTAAGCATATTGAAGACATGCAATAAAGCAACAAAAAAAGAAACTGAACAGGCCTTGTGCCAACAGTTAGGGTTGGCTACATGAATCAACCATTGTTATTAGGCAAACCAAATTTTCAATAAAACCATTTCGAACAAGGTCTTCTTCAATACATTATATTTTTTCCTAATATTTCCTCGGTCTTCCCTTAATACATTTCAATCATTTCTCAATGAAGCCTTTATTTTATTAGTCTCCTCACTGTACCAAACCGCCCCGCGATAACTGCGACTCCACCTTTTTCTCACAAGCATTTTTTCCCAATCTTATCTGTTCTGGTATATACCCAACACAACCATTCACCGGAGTACCCTCAACATCTGAGACTCATGAGTTAAAGAAGAAATTGCTATTTAAGCCATCAATGCTCGAGTTACTTCACAGCATCTAACCTGAATTCATCACAATATGACACGGAAAGAATGGCAAGAACAATGATTCTTCAACAAAATAAACCACAAAACATATCAATTACCTCTCCTCCTAAAAGAACGCAATCAGATTGCTTACAACCATCAACAATGCCTTTTATAACCTGAAGAAGAGAAAATCAAATGAGTAGAGAAACACCAACAAGCTTTCAGAACACGCAACCAAATTATCCAAGGCACACATCCACTACCTTTTCAGCAACGTCCACATCAAGGTGTCCAGTGGCAAAGTAATCAAGGAAAAACAAAGGCTTCGCCCCCGCAGTAACAATGTCATTAACGCTCATCGCAACCTAAAAAGAACAACACTCAAGACTCAAAAGCCAATAAGCCCTATTATATCATCAAAATCAGTTTCCACAATAGATTACCAAATCAATCCCAATCGTGTCGTGAATACCGGTTTCGAAGGCAAGCATCACCTTCGTTCCCACACCATCGGTACCAGCAACGAGGTACGAATCACCTATTCAAAGAAAAAAACAAAGTCAACTCAAAATCGAAATTAAAGAGTGAAACGCGAAGTGAAGACGAAAACGGTACCGAGAGGGAATAAACCGCCAAAGCCTCCAATCCCTGGCGCCATCTTTGCTATTCTGCGCACGAGTTCGGACCCTGCATCGATGTCAACGCCGGCGTCTCTGTAAGTAAGACCCTGGCCACTAGCTTCCACAACCATTTGTTTTTTCTTCGTTGACCTCGATGTTGATAATATGACGCCGTAACCACCGATTGAAGTGCGTAAGCTGTGGCTGATAGTGGCGGCAGCGTTGGACTTGCCAGAATTAGGTATCACAGATGCTGCTGCAAAATAACGCGATATCTCTGCGCATGCTGCTAAGCTCATTGCTGAGACCAATCGAAGAAAGAGGTATGCAGAGAGATAGAGTGTTCTAGGTAGTTAAGAGGGGGGGGGGGAGCAAGAGAGGCGGCGCCGGTGCCGGAGATAGACGGTGCTTCGGTGGAGACGCGGGGCGAGTGACGAATGGGCTTGGGAAAAAGCGTGCCCTGGGGTATGCGTTTATTGAAGAGGGACGCGAATAAAATTATGTGGTGGGTGTGGTAACTGTAAAGAAATTTAGATTCACTGTTCTGATTCTTTTATCTTACAAATAAGATAGTATTTAAACTAAATTATTAAATTTATTATCTATTAATTTAAAATTAATGATTAAAATTATTTTACATGTAAAAAGATAGAAATAACGGTTAAAATTATTTTACATATCTAAAAAGCAAAAAACAAAATATTTTTCGTATAAAAAAATATCAAACTTTTTATTACACAGATACGTAAAGTTTTTCATAAAATAATTGAAACAACGGTCGTTTTTGTTTTGCAACTTCGGGTTCATTTCAGAGTAGAATAAAAAACTATTTATCGGGCTGGCCCAACCCAACCTTGAAGAAAGCGGAATGAAAGGTTAAATTGAGATTAAATAAAATACTCGACCAAAAACAAAAGATTAGAGTAAAATAATCAGATGACAAAGAAGTTTGACAGGTAAATTTGATGTGAATTTGGATTGGATGATCCTAAACTTCATAATGAATGGGTACCATGCACGGCTCTGTCAAGATGACCCATATTGAGCACATAAATTGGGATTTGGTTTCGATGACGGATATACAGTAAAGAAAAAAGTGTAAAATTTTAATAATTGATGAGAAAACAGCACTTATATTTTTTTATACGCAAGTGTTTTATAAAAGATAATTTTGTTCAAGGTACAATGAGTCTCTATTTGATTTTCCATTAGTTCAGCGTAAGCGTGTTGTGATTTATTCGTGCACATTTTCCTAAATGTGTTGAATGGTTGAAAAAATTTATCATGAAAAAAAACAGGTTTGTCCCTTATTAGGTACGTTGAAATAATTAGGCCTTAATTTCTTTTATTATATTCAATTGTACTATTTTGACACTTCATATGTATACTCTATTCATATATCATACTCATACACTTATATTTTGAGTGTTTTGTTTCTATTTAATTCGTAATATCCTTAATTTTGTCTCGTCATATTAATTTTATCGTACCATTTCTTCATGCATGAAATAAGATATTATCTTACCCTTACATGCAATTTGATAAAGAAGTTTGGTGCTCAAATCAGAACAGTAAAGAGAGAAAATTTGTAAACCATTTCTTTTATGGCAACCAATTATAATACAAATACATCGAAACAAAGATACAAAATCATTTCAATTTGTTCAATAAAGGTTGTGTCAACTCCGGCCATGCATATGGTATTTTGCTCATGCCTCTTAAAGTTCTCTGTGGACACTTTTCATCTAATTGTTACGATCTCCCTAATTCCTATTTAGCATGAACATAATAAATGAAATACATTGGACAGAAAATAATAATTGGTCTCATAGATCACAAAGAATTTACAGATTTTGATCCACCTAAATATCTTACTAATGCATTCTGCAATGCATTTGTAGGCCTATGTAAAGTTATGTAATTTGAAAGCACAAATCAGCTTCTAGGTTGAGGTTGCAATTCATGGTAGTCAATTATGGCTTGTAAAAATTTGACTCGGAAGTTTGTCCATTCAAACAGTGTATATCTTAGAAGAGTAAGAGAATTAAAAATGTAAATATTAAATTGTGATATATATATATATATATATATATATATATATATATACACTGTCAATAAATTAAAATATACAATGAATGAGATTTTTAAATTAATTATTATGAAACTTAATTATTTTAACTGATATGGTAATCCAGATCAGATAACAGTATTAAAGAAATTCACTTAGTCAGCGCATTTTAATTAAATCTAAAAATAAAAGCTTTTAGAAAAAATTAATTAACATGTATGTCTAACAATAATGAAAAAAAGGAAAGAAGAAAAAAAAAGACTCCTATCTTTATTTGAAATATTTTTGAAACTTAATCAAGAGTACTAATAAGAGATGACTGTGGGAAAAAAAAAAGTGAACATCATTATGACTTAAAATTGAAGTCGTGATCTATACGTAAACTGATTAAAAAATCACTTAACTCAATAAGTTCACTAACATAACAATTTCAACAAAATTCATTTTTAAACAAGCAACTTCAAATTTGTTGAAATTTTAATAAATTCTCACACTTTTAACATTTGAAAAAAAACTTAATATCAAGCATATGTTAAAATCTTTCAATAGTGTATCAAAAGTCAAACGACACAATATATACATTGATTTAAATTAAAGCATTTAATGATTTCCACAAATAAAAAATTAATCTTCCATAATTACAAAAATATATCCACAATATATACAAAATTAAATAAAAAATACCCAAAAAAAATAATTTATTAGGAACTCTGACAAATCCTGAAAACATGCAACTCAACTATTTGATTATCTAAAAAACTAAATTATGGAAGGGTGAATTACACATACTCTTCGAGGGTATGGCAATCATATATATTAAAGAAAAAGAAACAAAATATGAATGATTCACAGCTATACAACCTATATATAATTAGCAAAGTCAATGAAACAAACTTTATCTAATTGGATTTGAAAAATAAGAAAAATCAATTGTTAAGAAGAATAAGCAATGCTTTTTTAAGTACACGGTTTCAAAATAAGATGCTATAAATAAATAATACTAACGATTTGCAAAACATTGGAAAAGGGTTACATATGAAGAAACCAATTTTTGCAGCAAACTCATTCAATAGATAACTGTCTCCTCTTTTAAGTTATAACATACTATCTTATTTCAGCTTATCAAATATAATTTCATCTCATCGTAAACCTCCCATGCATTGCTAGCTTTATCAAATAGATAGTTTCCTCCTCTCGAAATATAATTAGGAGCACATAAATCATTTTTTCCCACTAATGTCTACAAGTTTTAACATGAATTATTAAAAAAAAAATACAAAAAGAATATTATTCTACCTTTAGACCAAGTTTATTTCTAATGGTAAAAGACTCAATTTCATATAAACATTGAATGTCATCTAACATAATCAAGATAATTGCTCAATTCACCTTTCACAATATAGCCATATTATTGAACAAAAATTCATAACAATTTTTTTAATAATTGCAAAACGATAAAAAAAAATTGTTTCCTTAAATAGATAATATTAACATATTGAAATTATTTAATTAATATAAAAATTATTAAAAATATGTTTATATAATCACTATTCTCATACAATTAGGAAGAACTACTTAAAAATCTAATGTTAATTTGTAGTTGTTTAGGATCATGGCGCAAGATTTATCCTGGTCAGAAAACTAAAGTTCAGCCCAACCTACAACTTCACTGCAAGACAAAGGAATCTAGATAATAGTGACAAAAGGATACAAAGCTCAGAAAGCAAACTGAAAAGCACGTACAATAGCATGAAAGAAAAGTAAAAAGGCATTCGCTTTCAACTAGCAAGAGGAGAAGAGCGTGCAGCTTTCTAATGGGATCAGAGCATTAATTCCAACAATATGAGGCAAAATGGATGTTTAGATACCTAAGGAGGAATATACGCTTTAACTGCAAGATACAAGTTTTAATAAAGACTGGAAAAGCATTCCACTCACCTAACTAAAGCGCTCTTATTTTGTATGTACTTAATAAATGTATAGTTTGTCCAGATTCATAAATTGTAACTATAAAAGAGATCCTCTATGAATGAAGGAATCAAGCGAGAAATACACAACTCTTATTCACAGTATTTTTCATTCACTTGCCTTGTTTCATTTGTTTTCCTTTTATACTTCCTAAGCTTATAAACCTATTTCTTTAAATTTTATTCTAAAACAATTGGCAACTTCATTGGGGGAAGTATAAAGTTTGTGAAGAAAGAATTGCAGAATGAAGCACTACACCAAGGCGGTGGTTTTTAATTTGGAGGATTTTCTAGATACCGAGCTTGTTAGCGCACAACAGGAACAAATCACTCATCCACAAAGACTAGAAAGTAACGAAAGAGAAGCAAACTTCTTGGGTCAACTTGAAACACCTCCCTCAACCCCCATGTACCCTTAATATTGATTCCAACCTTTGTTCTTGACTTAATACTTGCCAACCAACAAAATCTCACATAATTGATGGCTCATAAAAGATAGACAACCAACCTCATCACCTCCATCAGGTAATTTAACACAACATTCCAAGTAAAGAGCACCTTAATGTGGATGATGCAATATTAATACAAGGGGAGTTGCGATGAATCTTACAAGGGTGTAGAGACAAGCGCAACATGTTTGAGGACATGGAACCATCTTTGGTTTCAGAAATAGCCCTCACACCTTATCCAACGGGATACCAACCACTTGCACTCCGAAAGTTCGATGGATCAGAAAGTGCATGGATCATTTTGTCATTCAGAGAGTTTTTCTAGAAGTAACTTAAGGAAAGAAAAAAAGTGTTGCCTAAATGGGAAAAAGGAAAAAGCTTCAAAGGAAACACTAAGAAGGAGGCAGCCAAAGAATTTGTAAATGTTATCAAAAGAAGGAAGGCGCCCTGTATATTATGGACATTAGACATGTAAAGAAAAAAGCTAGAGAAAGGTTAATTGCTTCAATTAAATGGTTGATCTAATAACATTGACTAGACTAAGTGGTTCAAAACTTTATTTGATTTGTGCGCAAATCCAAGATCATGTAAGACATGTATAAAGAAAAAGAGCGAGTTATTTTGTTTGAGTCTTTCAAGATGATCAATAAATACACACTATTTTTCTCAAAGGAATGATAAAGGTTATGTATTCCTGAACTGCACTTTATTATTATTATTACTGCCTATTAACTAATTCTATTCATAATGCCTTGAAGTTGTAATGAGATACATAACTGGTGTGCATCCTTTATTAACATATGCTTTACGGATATCATAACTTACGACTAGTTTTACTTCAAAAGGAAAAAGAAGGAAAGGTACCTTGGGACCACATCAAAGAAGTATTACTAATTGTCTAGTGATGGGACAACTCATAAGCTAGCGAGCAACATTTAATGAATGTTGCAATTTGCACTCCCGATGACTGATGAGTGTAAGCTTA